GGGGAGTCTAGTGAACATAATGTTCCTCATGTAATTGTAGATTAATGATACCAAAAACAAAAAAAATCTAAATTGCTGTATTTCTCCCATATTCTTAACAGGCTTTCACAACTGAACTTATTATTATTTTTTTAACTATAAGCCTTTTATTGTGTGTCACTAAATTCTTAAATCATTCTCATTATCCAGATTCCTGCAATACGATATTCTCCATGTTGATCCATACATTCATTTTTGCTCCCCTTCTCCTGTGCATTTTGCATTGGGTTATCCCCCAACCCCACCCTGCCCTGTAAGTTATATGTGCATATTCTGTGAAGTGGCAAATACTTCTAGATTTCTTAAGACAAGCGCCGGTCCCAGGTTCTGTCTCCTGTTGCCCTTCCCATTTCTCCAACAAGTACTTACTTTAAACTTTTTGGGGGACTTATATTTCTCTGTATTTTCAAAATAGCAAGTTTATAATATTTATTAAATTCTTTTTTTTGTTTTGTTTTGTTTTAGGCATTATTATTGACTTCAAACACACAGATTTAGCTTTTTCCTCTCCCCTACCACACACTCCCATATTTCCAACTTCCTCATCCTTCTAATTTGGTTATTTTCTGTTTTAGTTAGGTCAACATTCCTGGTCAAGGTTATAATGTGCTTTTGAAGTGTAATTTAAGAATATTCAATTCTCCAGTAGAGGGGAAGAAATGGGGTGGATGGAACTCTCCAATATTAAGAATAAACAGTAAACTAGTAGCTTATGAGCCAGAGGTGAAACTCATAGTAACTGTGGATATGAGTAAACAAGTGGCAAGTGCAATATAAGCAGGATTCCTAAGATGTGTTTAAATATATAGTACATAAAATGGTAACCTATAAAATAGAAAGAAGGTATTACTTACAGAAAGAAAAAGGTGGAAAAAAACAAGTCATGACTGTATCACTGTGGACTGATGATTGTGTCCTAACCGTCACCCATTGGTGGCACCCACTATTATCCCATTGTGGGTCTGCATTATCTGTCCTAGAAATACAAGTAGAATTCATGGTTGTCATGGCCAGACTAACTGACAAGCTACAGCTATGGCCAGGCCTGTGTCACTGGTAGAATCAGTGTATGTCATTGGTACCTGGCACTCTGTCTTAGGGGCCCTTTCCTGCAGCTCAATTCTGATCCTTATAACCACCCATCAATGGGAAGGATTGAAGCAGTGGGAAGACAAAATATAGGAACACTGTGTAGGAAAAATTTTTCCTTGACCTTGTTAAGCTCTCTGGCTGGGTTTGAAAATGAAACTGACAAAAGCTGATTAGCAGGAGAAAAGCATACAAATTTATTTGATGTACATTTTCATTAAATAGGAGCCTTCATAAAGAAATGAAGATCTGAAGAAATGGTTAAACCTGAATGTTTTTACACTAGGTTTGATGAGGAATGGAATGTCTTGGAAAAATACGATAGGACAAAGAATAGGAGCTTATTGTAGTAAACTGGGGGCAATTAAGCAAGGCCAGGTCATTAGCTTCTTCTCAGTGTCCCTTGTCTTGAAGATAAGATGTTCCTTTCCTCCTACAATACGGAGGCACCTCTCACGGGAGGTTTTTATGGCTTGGTTCAGTAGAGGGAAACAGGGAGGAGGGTCAGAGGAAGATTAGAGAGACATTCCTGCTTCTGTTTTCTCAAACTTCTTCAGCTTAAAATATTCAACTTGCCAAGGTGCCATATTTTAGGGTAGCATGATTTGAACCCCAGCAACGGAATCTCTCTTAATTTGGGAAGTAAAATCCTTCTTCCTAGCTTGTAACCTCTTAAAGAATAAAATTCAATGGAGTAAATGTTAAAGATCTTATTGGCTTTATTCGGTGATTCATGAATCAGGCAGCATACAGTCTAGGAGAAAGAAAGGCACTCCAAAGAGCTATACAAGGAAAGATATTTTATAGGTAGAAGGCAGCAGGAATAAGGAAGTTGTACTAGACAGAAAAGCAGGTTGGTTATTACAGGATTACTTTCCTTTAGGGAATGGCAGGGATCTATTAGACAGATTACCTAACTACTATTGATTCAGAAACTCCTGGTTGACCCGTGTAAGATTCTGCACCTGGGAAAGCCAAACTGTAACTAAGTTAAATCTCAGTTTGGTGACATATGGCTTAGCATGAGCCACTCCATTTGGGGCCTATTGTCTTGTTTTTAACATTCTAAATATTAGTTTACCCCATTCTTTTTGCCTTGGTTTTTGCTGTGCATCTTAAATTGACTTTTAAATAGTAGAAGCTTTTAAATACAGTCTGTGAGACTTTGTTTCATGACCTTTGGAATAGTTTACCTGGCAGTGTTCTTGTATCAAATCAATTTCCCACAAAAGAACCTATGTCAATGCTGACATTTTTGAGAAATGGAATGTCTGAATATGTTCCACGCTTGTGCAATAGTTTGACTGAATACAGAATTCTAGGTTGGAAATCATTTTCCTTCAAAATTTGGAAGGTATTTTCTACATTATCTTTTAGCATCCAGTTGTAGTGTGGGATCCGAAGCCATCGGATTTCCTGATCTTAGATTCTCATTTTCTTCTATTTTCTCTTGTATTTTACAGCTGCAGTTTTGCTCTACTCAGAGGGTACCTTTGATTTGATCTTCAAGCCCTTCTATGATGACTGCTCCAAATGCAGCACCAGATTTCAGCTCCTTTCTGGGATCCGGTGAGATGAAGAAATGACAATGGAACACTGGGGGTAAAAAGGCTTATACCAACCTTTATTCTCAGGGGGGTAGGTCGAATGGTAGAATCACATCCACATTCAAGAGTCTGCAAGCCAGTAATCTATCTCCATCTCTGCCTCCGCCATCAGCACAGAGCACTGGGTGGAAGTCTTTATATAGCAACATAGTTGATAATGGCTCATTGCCAACACGTGTGTAAGCATGAGCCTGCTCAGTAGGCCAATCGTTGCATCATGGCACGTGCCCAGTGGGCAAGTAGATCCGGGTCAGGTGAGGATCCTAGCCATGGAATCTTCTATTTTACCTATGTGTTTTTTTATTTCTAATTTCAAACTTACAATTTCCAGATATTCTTTTTTTTTGAGTTTTCCTTTTTAAAAAAGAGTGCCCTGTTTGTTTTAAATTTATATGCCTTATCTCTCAATAAAATTAGTGATAGTTTTTCTTGGCATGTTCTTTTATGGTCTTTTTCCAAGTTGCTTCATCCTGCTTGTCTGGCTTTTTATCTCATCTTTTTTACTATAAAAATACGTGGAAGATTTTTTTTATCTGATCTTCTTAAGCATATTTAGGGATTGTGTTTTCTCAACTATCCTGTCTCAGGATTTTTACCTTCTGTTGCTTTTCCGTCAGCCTCTGCCATATTTATGCAAACTGAAATTCCATCATCTACATCCCACATCCTCCTCTAGCAATGGTTCGCTTACCTTTTTTTTACGTCTGGATTTCTTGAGTGAGTGTATGTTCGTCCTTTTCACTGTCTCACCTCGTAATTTTAAATCCCCTGTAATTTGGTCTTGGCCTTACTTCTCCAGTGGAATTCTCACCGATTGCAGTAGGAGAAGCTTCCAGGGCAGAAGGGAGAAGAGCCAAGAGCACAGCAGGAGTAGAAAGTGAAGACCGCCATCAAGTGTGCTGAAACTTTCCCACACTTCAGAATCACCTGCGAGGCTTGTTAAAACGGCGTTGGCTGTGCCCCAGCCTTTGATTCAGTGGGTCTGGGCTGATGCTCAATCATTTCTAATGTTACCAGGTGCTGTTGACACTGCCTGTCCTGAACCACACTTTTTCAGTTGCTCACAATGGTGACTGTACTTAAATTTATAGTTCAAAACGAACTAAAATTTACAGGTCCAAAAGACATGTCCATAAAATATCAAGCTATTCAGCTGTTTATAACAGGCATTTCATTTCTCCTGTATGTTCCTTGACTAGCATCCACGGGTTTAAGAGATGAGTCAGGCAAGAAAACTTTAAGGAAACTTTCTCTGTTAACTTAATTGGGAGTTATTCAGCAGTGGGGGGAAAAAACTACTCTCTAACTAGAACACTTGAAGCTCAGTTCACAAAACAGTAGTCAGCTCCAGAAGTAAAAGCTGGAAAAAAAACTGACATAAGGCAACGTGAGGGAGATATAACTACAGAAACTCTAGATAAATTTTCCAGCGACTTGACAGAGGGTGTGATTGTTTTCACGCAGAGCAAAAGAATTATCCTATTAGTCCACTAATAGTACAACACCCACTCACCTTTATCCCTTTAACAGTAGCATTTACATTAAAATATGCTGGCTGATTGGCTTACATACAGTTTTGAAGAGGAAACTAGACCTATAACTTTATAGATTATTTCTTTCTCTCCCTGTAGTTTGTTGAGGGTTTGGGGATTTTCTCGCTCTTTCTGGGCTATCTAGTTCTTTCCACGCTACTTTGTAACAGTTTGAGGCTTGAACATCGCATTGCACTGCAACGCAGAGATCTAGGAAGGAGCTTCAAGCTGTGTCTCGGCGTGCAATGGATTCGCCAAAGTTTAACCCACACTGGACCCCGGAGATGCCCGGTGAAGAAAATTCCCAGGGAGCTTCAGGTAAGCCAGATAGTGCCCCTGACTACTCGGGGGTTCGGGAAGTGAGGAGGCTGCGTCCTTTCCACTTTGGCTGGAGTCTTTTGAAGAGGAATGCATGTAAGTACGCCTCTTAGCAGAGGAGGGCCAGGAGCTTAGGTCCCCGGGTGAAAAAAGGACAGAGAAAAAGGGGGAGGGGGTGTTGAATCGCACTGTTGGTTTATTGCATGCTCAGAAATACTTGAACCTCTTACTTTCAAGCGAAGAGCAATCGGGATTCTAGGTTTGCGCTCGTGGTGTCGGGCCTCCAGTATCTCCCCCATCAGCAATTCAGGTCTGGGATGTTAAAAGCAAAAAACCTTCAATTTAGCCTAAAGGTTTTTTTAATCTCACATTTTCGGGATTGGCTTTCCAGCGTTCAGGAATGTTAATAAACAGGGAAATGGCTTTTCAGAGGAAACTGAAGGAGGGGCGGATTTATGAAAGCCAGTGAGTGTGCTCTGTGATGTAAATCAGCAGGTCGTACGGTGAAGGGCTGCCTCCTTAGAAACGGTGCTCCAGAAATACTTCTAATTAGGTTCCCACCTTCCTGGCTATTCAGCGGCGGAACTCCTCTCTTTTTGGAGCTGCGGCCCAATCTCAGGCGTAGGCACGGGGGCTTGAAACCTTATTACCGTAGTGGCTGGGCTGCGTGGCCTGGAGCCAAACACCCACCCCTCACAGCTACCTATCCACAGGACGACTACGAAACTGGGTCGGATGTTTGCCACCACCGCCCCCCGCTCCCCGCCCCGTCCAGACTGCTTCCCCTGCGTCTTGAAGAAAGTATCCTGGCCGATATATATATACAATGGGGAAATTAAGAGTATCAAGATAAAATACCCAGTCTCTTTTTCGTGGAATCCGCCTTAGCACCTGGCAGTTTCACAACCAGGGCTGTTTTCTTTCTGTGTTCTGTGTGCACAGTCCCTAAAAGTTGAGCGCGGCCCGACTCTTAATATTTAATACGTTTCTGTACAGGGAAAATGAGTTCCCTGCCTTACTGTGTGAGGTGTGAGTGTATGCGATATGCATAATAGTTTGGATGGGAGAGGCAAGAGTTGAGTGGTTGATATCCCAAAACACTAAGGTTTGAGTGGAAAAATCGTATTAATACCATGAAATAGTTATATAACTGGAGAGGATAACAGCCACTTTAACTTCCTAGTTCTGCAAAAGGACAGGAATTTGGGGAGAGACAATATTTGGGGTTTGTTTACGTCACAGACAAGCCACCCCCCCCCCCCCCCCAGTCCCCAGCAAAATGTGACCGGTTTATTATTGTTAGAACTGCAGACACTTGTTCAGAGACATTGCCTTGCATTTTAATGCTTTATGTCCCCACATTTACATAAAAAATTCACACAAACGCAAAACTGCCCGGATTTCATTTCTGTCCCATATTATTCCACTTGGAGTCGTATACTTAGTGTGTGTCCCCACCCCACCCCACCCCCGCCCCTCGCCATGGGTCAAAAGGAACCTAACATTCTACCAATAACCGGAAGAGAAAGGATTATTGAGAATGAAATGTTTCTCATCACAGTGGATTCTAAGCAAGGTTCCCAACAGCTTGCAATGTGTGCAGCGTGCTAGACTCAGTAGGTGTGGTACGTGTTCTTTCTAGCTGAAGAACCTCACATTTCACGTCCAGCGTTCACCTGGGTAAGAGCAGTCCTAGTTAGACCATGAGAGGAGTGACGTCTGGTTAAGGCAGTTCACCTTAACGTATCTTAACTTTTTCTTTCAGCTGCCTCTCAGTCTATCTCAGAAGCACTGATAAAGAACCTCAGTAATTTGACTCTCAACCCCAGTACCAAATTCTCTTCCCTTGTACCGGAAAATCCGCCCCAAAAGCAGGGCGGAGAAAACATTCAGAGGTTGGACGAAAGTGCGCTCTACATGAGGAGGCGCCGAGTGAGGACACTGTTAACTGCTCGGAAAGAAAGGATGGAAAGGATGATCCAGATTATTAAATACCGTTACCTCAACCAGCTTCCCCAGGTGGGTGATGTGGGCGGTCGGGACGCCCAGCCCTGCGGGCGGGCCCCTCATGTCAGTTAAAGAGGTAGAGTGATGAGCAGGTCACTCACCTGCACTCCGAGTCCAGGATATGCGTAACACGTTTTTGAGATTCTCCAGCTTAGTTTAGGGTAGATGTTTAACATGAGTGATCCAACTAATTTTCTTGATAGTTTTCAATGTTTTTTTTTTTTCTTTAAGATTCGAAGAGAAGGACGGCCGAAGGACGTTGGGGTAAATAGAAGTTCTTTCTTAAATGTGTGGGTGGGTATCTGGCTTGGTGTGAGTTTTTCCTTTTTTTTTTGAGAGGAAAGGAGAATTGGCTTGCACTTGATAAATCTCCAGGAACTCTGGAGAAATCCATTCATGTTTATAGTTCTAAACATATTTTTTGAGCAGTTTTAGTTGACAGCAAAATTGAGCAGAGTTCCCATCTACCCGCTGACCCCACTCATCTGCTCCATAGTCAACTTCCCACACCAGGGCAGCACGTTGCTAGTTGATGATCCTACATTATCACCTAAAGTCTATAGTTTACATTCAGGTTCAGTCTTGGTATTTGCGCTCTTTTGCAAGTGTTATCACATGATTCTCATGGCAATACGGAGTGTACAACAGCAGGAGTTACTCACATTTAAGGCATCCACAGAGCTGATGCTAGGATATATTTTAACAATCAGCAGCTGTTAACAACATTACAAAAATTACCCACAATTTGACATTCTTTGGTACCCATACATGTCAACTTATTTGCCTTCTCTGATTCCTTAAAAAGTTTTTTTTTTCTTAGTGTTTCACATTCCAAAGCCTTTTCTAATAGATGCTAGATTTGAGGGTTGTTCATCTCTTTGGGGTGTAACTAGTCTGTTTCATTAGTATTTTAACCCGATTAATCCTTTTTTTCCCCCAGGTTGAATCGAGGATGGCAAGGTTTAGATGTAGCTGTCATTACTGCCTGTATCATAGAGATCTTTCTGAGGATACTGGCGCAGAGAAGAATGACAGCACAGAGAATAATTAGGATGACGTGGAGTCGATTTAGCTGTAAACCTGATTCTTACTGCCTTTCTTTGTAGTAATTCTAGGATCATTAGGCAGCACCTTGACTAGGCTACTCTGCACGGATAGATTTTGTATACCAGTATTTAAATGTAAATTCTGTGATGTCTTTTTCTTGCATCTTGTTTGATACCAGTAATTTATGAGGAGTCTATATAGTTTGCATTTGAATGACTCCACTATACTTTAGTTCACTTTTTAGTTTGACCCGAAGCAGCACTATTGAGTCTCCAGGATTGCCCCTGTGTTTTAGAAGCCTGAAGCCAGTAAGATGAAATCCAACATTAAGAATTTGAAGCCAAGCAACTTGTGCAGAAGGAATATAAAGAAAACATCTGGTGGTTTGGCTAGAGTGTGGTTAGGGCAGGCAGAATTAACTAGACTTTCTGGTTTTCAAAAATTTGAATAGTAATTTTTTTGAAGTGTGTTTTCAGTAGCAAATAAATGTGTGTATACAGGATTTTATTAAAATTTGAGTACCTTTTAAAATGTTCTCTTATTCTTTATATTTTGTTGCTATGTATTTAATGAATAATTCTTGTTCTCATCACATTCCTAGGTTGTAAATATTTAGCATCCTAATATTTGTTGATGTCCTACTGAGAGGGAACTTCACATTTGGGTACAGTTAGAAAATGGCACAAATATTGTACATACAAGTCCCTGAAAAAACTAAAAAATGGATGTGGAGAGATGGGTGAAATAGGTGAAGGGAGGTAGACAGAATGCTTGTCTTTTTTTTATAAGTTCCTTTTTTATAAGTTCCTTTAAGATTGTTGATAAACAATCTTACATTGGTTTCAAGTGCACACAGTGGTTCAACAGTTACCATATTGTCTTCACCCCCACTAGTGCTGTTACTGTCAACACAGGAAGATGTTACAGAATCACTGACTCTATTCTCCATGCTGTACTACCATTCCTGTGACCAGCTTATGATTGAGAATTTCTGTGCCCCTGACCCTCCCCACCCTAACCCCTCCCACATGGTAACCACCAGTCACTTCTCAGTGTCTGTGTCTACTCAGAATACTTGATATCTTGATGACTGCTTAAGTGTATACACATGTCAAAACTGAGGTGTATGCACTAAGATTTGTGCGTTTTACTGTACCTCTATAAAACATTTACACAAAAGAAAAGAAGTAGAAGGGAAGTAGAACATAATAGGTTGTGATTGGAAGGAATTGAAAGAAACAGTTTGAGGTTTCTGACATTAGGGTGTGGATATTTTGGGGGAACCATTTCCTCCAATTATATAACTTTAAGGCTAAAAATTTTTTCAAAATAAAAGTTTAAAAAATACAGTTATTATAATACTAAGGGAAAATGCCATCCAATGATATTTTACTTATTTTTGCTAATGACCTATCACATACACAGATCTGAATTTTTTTGTGGGATACAAAAAAAGAAAATTTGTCTTCTGCCCTTCAGTTGTCTTGTGTTCACTATTTTGTTCACTTAAAAGAATCAGAGAATTGAGTACCTACAGAGAAGCAGCTGGAGGTCTAGGGTGGAGAAATAAATGGCTCTGCTGATAGGTACATAAGGAAAAATAACCTGTTATATTCAGAGTGGAGTGGAAGCAGAAACACCACAAACCTGGGGGATTCTTATATAGGTATGGCAAGTTCGGTGATGAGTTATAATGGGATATTCATGTTAACATTAGCTCACACTGCTAAATTTGCTCTTCAGAGGTTATTCTCCATAGAACTTCCCAAGCCATCATGTTCTAGTGACCTAGGTAAGTGGCAGTCTAGAGGTTTTGTTAAACTGGAAGGTTCCTAGTAGCACAGCCATCTTGACTATTCTGTATGAATTTGAAAATCTTTGATTAGTTAGGAAGACCCAACTTATTTTTATTGCAATTGTGTTAAATTTGTAAATGAGATTTAGCAATCAAGAGCACAGATGAATAAAATACATCCTAATGACCTTTAGTGTCCTTCAGATGTATTTAAATTTTAGTTTCACGTTGTTAGGCAGTCTTAAGTATATGCATTAACTCATTTATTATGAGATGTTACTTTTCGTATCATTTTACAGGAAACTGAAGCAGAGAAATAACTTGTTCACGGCTACATAGTAAGGGGCTAACATGAAAGTTAAATGAGTGTGTTTTGGCAAATATTCTCTATTGTGTACCTCTTAACAACTTTTGGGTCCTTTTTAAGGTGTTTCGAGGTATCTCCATTAGATTTTCTAACTGGTTGCAATATGTGTAAGCTGTAAGTTTCTACTTTTATTCACCCAGCATTTTTCATTTTAACTTTTTAAAATTGCAAACTACATAAAACTTCCAAGTTAGGACAATGAACTTTGGTGTACAATTCCCCTAGATAACAGCAATGGTTAGCATTAGCCACATTTACTTTTTTTTATTATTAGAGTATCATTGATATACAATCTTATGAAGGCTTCACATGAACAACATTGGGGTTTCAACATTCACCCATATTATCAAGTCCTCACCGCCCCTCGTCCCCCTGCCGATTGCAGTCACTATCAGTGTAGTAAGTTAGCCACATTTACTTTTAAAACTTTTTTAGCTGAGCTATTTGAGAGTAAATTTCAGATTATAACCCTTCATCTCCAAATACTTAAGTCTATATATATATTTTAGAATAACATTGTCTATGACAGAGGATCAAATTCAAGAAATTTATTAAATTGTATACTTTGCCTATTGATATTCACCTTTTTGAATCACTGTGTGACATCTATAGCAAAGATTCAAGTTTTGTGTAATACGGTCTGGAAGAATTTCAGTGGGTGAAAACTCATTTCAGCACACCAGCTATGTTTGTGTGTATGTGTGTAGTTCCAAAGGAATTTAGGAGGGTTCTCATTTTCTTCCTAATTGTTACTCTCATGATTTAAACGTCATAATGCCTTTACTTCCTTTAGTACCTCTTTTTCTAGGGTGGACGATGATTATTGTACATCTCCTCTTCCCTCTTCCTTTCCCGTCTACCTCTTAAGTCAGTTAAATTATCTTCCAGTGTTTTGTGGTTCAGAATTGCCAGGTTTGAATTATAACTTTTAAACCCAACTACGTATGGAACCACTTAACTCTATCATCTCATCCCTTCCTTTCAAATTTGTTGTCATCTCTATTAGATTATCTGCATGCTTTTTAAAGTGTGTTTTAAATCTATGGTTAGATACATTTAATGCTCATTGCCATCTCTGCTGTAGGCAACCCAGTTACTTCTCAATTGACTTCCTCCATAGTGTTTTCTTCAGAAAAGACTCCGTTTGTGAGTTCTTTCACGTCCAGAACTGTCCTTTTTTCTTGAAAAAATGCTTGTCTCACTCCTCTTCAAGGATATTGGTAAGTATTGTTCTAATGTTGTGAATGTTGACTGTTGATGAGATCTGAGGCCAGCTTGCTCCCTTCGCTGCCTCAAGTGTCTTATTTTTCTGCTCAAAAGTGTCTCTCTTTGCCCGTTTAGTTTGCCAGAGTAGCTCTGCTTTGACCATTGTGGGTCATTTCCTCTTGGAACATGGTGTGTTCTTTAAGTTTGTTTTCTTAGTTTTTCTTGAATGGTATCTTCAGAATCGTTCTGTTCCATAATTGTTACTTTCTTTGGGGAGTACAGTTGTGTGTCTTTTGGATTGCTTTTGCTTGTCTTTATTTTTCTCTAATCTTTCTAAATTGTTATTCCCACTCAATAACTCTTCTATCTCCTACTGAGTTTTCCAATTTCTCCCTTGTGCCTCCCACACCGTGTGGTTTCTGAGTTTTGCAAGCTCACATTTTCTTCCCTCCCGTGCTCTTGGAGTTTCTTCCTTGATTCTTGAATTTGATTAATTTCTTTATGGTTAGAGTCATGGTCCCCTGTTCTATGTAATCTTTTTTTCAGCTCTGGCAAGTTTGCTTAGTGTTATTCTTACATTTCTCATTTAAGAATTGCATTTGATATTTTAATAGAGGGCAGTATTTGGTAGTGGTTAAGCAGGTGGACTCTGAAACGGGTTGCCTGGTGTCCAGCCTGAGTTCTGCTACTTGCCAGCAGTTGTATGCCTTGTACTTAAACCTCAGTTTTCTCATCTGTGAACAGCAGTCCCTGTCTTTCCAAACTGATGCCTCGTACTTTTCTTCAGTTAAGTTCCCTCAGCAAGTCCGCTGTGTCAGGTGGGTGCAGCAGTCTGGGTTCAGGGGTGGAGAAGGGACCTTGGTGGGTTTGGCTGTTGTTAGTGATGCTCTTTCCACATCCCCTCTGCATCCAGAGGTATCTAGTACCGCAAATTCTAGCAGTTAACCTGGAGTTCTGCAGCACCAAAGGATGTATGTTATGTGGCTATCCCATTCTCAGGCTTAATTTTTAGTCTTCTCTGGTCACAATAACAGCAAAATAGAGAGCCAACTTCTTGGGAGAACTCATAAATGGTCTCTGACCCATCTGTCTACCTCCCTTAGGCTTTTTTCCTCTGTAAGCACTTGGAGCATTCAGGAGTCGGCAAGAGATCTCCAGATAGACTCTCTATCTATCCTAAACCAAGTTAATTATATTTGCAAACCAGAGTTAATACTATCAATGTAAATACATTTCCCCAAATAGTATAGTCCCCTTTTTCTTGTTTCATATGAAACATAATTTTAGCTATCTATTATCACAAATTAAGTAATGGAAAGTTTTTATAGATTTAAAAAATGGATAAAAGAGTTATATTAGAGATTCCATAATTTAAAATAAACTCTAAAAACATCCTGAAAGATACATTTATAATTTCTCAATGCTTTTTTCCAAAATGAGTATTTATATATGGTTGTATGAATAGAAAAGTTAGATCTTTTCTGACATAAGTCTGATTTAACTAACTGCTTTGAAAAAAAAAAGATTGGCTTTGCAAATTAAGTTCAGTCATAGCCATTGTTACAGTAAATGTGCAACAAGAACAAAAAGAGAAACCATTTCATCCTCCCCATCTTCTCGCCACTGCCTTTATTCCCTTGGAGCAGTATTAAGAAGCTCTGCCATCTCTTCCCCATTCCAGAGTGCCTCCCTGTGAGTGAAGAATGAATTACTTTGTCCTGAAGCAGCAAGTCTGACATCCTCTGGGTCTGTTTCTTTCCTGAGAGGATTGCTGCTCAGGTGCAATTTACCTGCTCTGGGCTTTGAGTGGTCTTGGCCTGGCATGGTTGACCAGCTCTCCCCATGAGGTGACCACGCCTAGACTTGGGAGCACCTTTTGGACCTTACTGTATCCCATATTTCACCATTCAGTTTCACCATCAAAGCTGACAGTTGTATTATCTGGATCCTGTGCATATTTATTTTGGTTAATTCAGAACTCTTTGGGCATCGGTGTCATGAACTGGGTAAAGGAGTGAGCATGAGGACAGAGGGACTTGTAAGAATAATTCCCAAGTTTGAGTCTTGGACGGTGGTAAGTGACAGGGCAGGAAGAGGAGGGGCAGTTTTGAGAATAAAATCTAGGGCTTTGGTTAATGCTTAAAC